AACATTGTTGCTTGAATGTCATTAATGTCCCCTTAAATTAAACATGACCAAAACAGCACTTTTGACCTATCTGTGCCGTGTTCCATGCTTCAGTCTCTTCAGTTTCCATCATCCTCATCTCAGTAAATGCTACCACTATTTTTTCAGTTGCTTAAGCCAAAAACCTGGGAGTCATTCTTGACACTAATTCTGCCCATCTATCCCTCTTCATTCCTCCATCTCTAACCATGATCAAGTCTTGCTTCTAACTCCAAAATAAATATCAAACCCACCCCCACCTCTCCAGTGGAGACACTGTCAGCCTTCTGGCTCAGCCACCACTGTTTGTCACTGAACTACTGCAGTGGATTCCTAACTCTTCCTCTTCCAGGCTTCTGCCCATCTCACTTCCTGTTTCCCTGGACCTCTCGGTTTGTACCCTCTTTCCTCTTCCCTCATTGTCTCCCTTAGTTCTTGTCCTCACACTGCCGCCCACTCTTCTTCAGTTCCTTCCCCCCTTTAGCCGTTAAACCCATCGTTTCACTCCCATCTTTCTCTTTCATCCTCAGAGAGCTCTTTTAAAACTGTGAATTAGATTATGTTTCTCTCTTGGTTAAAACTCTTCCGTGGCTTCCTGTGGCACTTAGAATAAAATCAGGTTTCCTCAGCATGGCCTTGTGTGATGGCGCTACTGCCTAACTTTCAACCCTGTCCCCAGCCACGCATTCTCTCCGCGCTTCAGCCATACTGGCCTCTTTTAGTTCTTGGCATGCACCAAACTCTTTCTTTGTCAGGAGTTTTTGCAAAAATGATGCTCTATGCATAAAACTCTCCCTTCTTTCTCTCTCTGGCTAATTCCTACCGTTCTTCAAATTCATGCTTTTCCTCCAGCAAAGCCATTACTAACCACTCAATCTAAGTCTAAAGTAGGCCCCTGATGTTTCTCTCTTTGTTCTTTCCTTCAAATCAATGATCATGATTTAACATTGCATATTCATTCTGCATTCACTACATATACAGATTATTAGCTCCATAAGGGCAGTCACATGTCTGGTATGTACATCACTGTCTTTCCTGTGTGCCTAGTTTTTTAGAAGGTATGAGTAAATGCTTGTTGAATAAATGAATGAGTGTACCCCACATGAAAAAACATACATTCTGAACAGTAATAGAGCCACAGAAATGAGCAGACCGATAGGGAGGGAGGGCAGTGAGGAAACAGGCCTAATGGCGCAAAGCACCTCTGTGACATAAATTGCTGAAGACTTTTATTCTAGCAAGAGAATTGTAAGTCACAAATTCACATCTTAGTATACTCCCATTTATGATGTGGGTATTTTAAAACTTTTACTTTTATTTGTAACTATATTTATTTTTATGTTAGTAAAAGAAGCTTTCCAAATTACATTTGATGATTCCTGAGCATTATTTGCCTTGTTTTCTTATCTCTTTAACTTGATAAATTATATAGTATGTGTACTATAATTATGTCTCATCATAGTATTAATCATTACAACTCATTTGTGAAGTGCTAGCTACGTGTCAGGTGCTTTATCTGTATCATCTCATTTAATCATTCCAACAGCCAGGCGAAGGGGGAGGGGTGTCCCATTTTTCAAATAAGAACACTGAGGCTCAGAGAATTTAACTACCCCAAGGTCATATAGCTAATATTTGCTACAGCTGGAATTCCTACCAGATGTCGCTGCTACTTTCTACTACTGCTGTAGTGTCTTTATGGTGAGTTATTTTAGTATACATAAAAATATATGAAATATGTTTGGTATGAATATAGCATTTCTGTTTTCTCTATTAGGCAATTAGGAAATATTTTAACTATTTAAAGTTGATGTTGTTTTTTTAAATTTCCTGAACAAATCAAGGAAGCTATCTTCTTCAGCTATTTTTCTAAATAAAGCATTAAAAAATGATGAAATGTTTTTTGACATCCAGAAAGCCATATTATAGCACCTGCGTTCTCACCACTTAACCTTGAAATAAAAGCTCGCCAGCACTGTTGCAAGGCCTCTGCATTCCTCCCCAATCTCATCTTCCTCCCCCTCCTCCTCAGTAATAACTACTCTCCCAGCATTGGCATTTATCATCTCCTTGCAGCTCATGTATCTTGCCAACAGTCTGGTGGCTGAGTGCCGAATGTACGCATGGCAGTGGTGTTTAATGTTATTATTTTTCTGAAGTAACTTAGCTAATGTCTGCTTAGTGTTTTGCCAGTTTTTAAAAAATTGACCCCCATTTGCACTAGAACCAAGTCATGCCACCTCATGCTCTGTCTATACTTAAAATGTGGGTGAGGAATAAAAATGCACTCAGTTTCAGAGCCTGCAGCCATGAGACAAAAGGTCAGTTCAGCAGGTTGGCATTTTCTCCTATCATGCTCTGAAGTCTAATTGGTATAAAGAACCCACCATAAATAACTGTGAGGACCTCATGACTGAAACTTTGTAAGATGAGTGGGTTAGGCCCAAATCCAGTTTAAGTTTCAGGTGGATGATTACATTCCGTGTTTCTCATTTCCCCCAGGTTTAAAAATCAAGCGTAGTGGTCCTCCCTTCTGTGCTCTGTGGGCGCTCCTTGTCTCGTGAAAGGCCCCCAGCAGGGCCAGAATATGCGAAGGTCAGACTTGGTCAGGTGAGAGGTTCCCTCCACCCCCTCCGCCCATCCACAGCTAAGGGAAAAGACCTCCTCAAGTTGGCAAAGACTTGAAGGAGGCTTCTCCAAAAGACACAGACAAAAACAAAAACAAAATTAAGCCAATAAGCTGGTAATTATGATGTAGCTTCAAAAATAAAGTTTTGTGATTGGTTTATGGGAGAAAGTAGAGATCAAGACGTTCAAGGAAGGTAGGAAAGGAGAAAACAGGTAATAAAGTGGGTGAGAAGCAATCAGGAATTGTGATCGTGGTGAAGATGAAAACTGGGCTACCTGTAGAAAAGACGGGACTCTTGGGACTAAATGCCTGAGGCACAAAAATGGTTTATAAGGGGAACAGTGAATGACTAGAAAATGTCAGTTAGTATCTGGGACAAATGAGTACTCATAAATTAATTAATGATTCACTGATAAAAATCTCATCAGTTTGTAAAGTTTTTTTTATAAAAGCATATATTTGTGTACATGATGGTTGGTATTTTTTGTTGTTGTTGTTCTTATCAGAGTACGTTATAACTTACCTGAGTACTTGTCTGAATATTTTATTAAAAAGTTTCTTTTTAAAGGTAAGCCTGGTGGCTTTCTTTGTCATCATAAAAGTAGTTTTTCCACTACACAAGAGGCATGATTCAAAAAACTTTCTACTAAAGTTCAAGTGAGTGAAGATTATGTGCAAATTCTTTGTTTCTTTCATAAACCTATTTTGTTGAATTTTCCATAGAAAGTGCCACGACCAAACATTCTTGTGATAGCTTCTTTGTGAAAGTGTCACTGTTCTTGATTCGCACACAGCTTATAATTTAGGTCTTCTTTTGTTTTGGGTTGGAAGTTCCAACTGTTAAAGCTCTTGTCTGATTATGTGGAACTCCTTATGTTAATGGGAGCAACTTCTGTGCTGCATTTTTAAAAAATGGGCTCGGAAGCTTCTTACTGTGGATCTTTGTTGGGGACAAAGGATTATTTATGCTAAAGGAAAATGTATTCCCCCACTGACTTAGCTCGTGGGAAGCATAACAAGCTCATTAGTAATGCTCAGTTGTACTTTGTCCTTTTGCCATGGTAGACAGGGGGAGAAATGACATCAAAAAGGACATTCTGCTATCCTTTGCCTTCCCACAAAGAAAATATGATGTAATATTAGAGTTTTCAGTTAGGTTTAGCTCAAGTTCAACTTTAGTACCAGAAGAAATGCTCCTGAAAGGAAGGTGGTATGTGTAGTTGGCCACTGTGCATGAGGTATGTCTGGTGTAATTAAGAGAAGAAAATAACTTTTCCTCAGGAATCAAAAGCATTATAGCCTTATACAGTGTTTTAGATTTTTTTTCCTTAGAATTTTTAAATGGTGGTTTACAATAAAAAATAGCTAGTGTATTACGCTGCTGTAAGCAATTAAAAGCCCTAGGTTTTATATAGTCTGATTATTCTGAGTGTTTTGGAACTCTTCACTTTTTTTCCTTCTGAAAATACATTAAAAAATTGTATTAACCTAACTTAATTAAAGTTGTGGTTGTCTTTCTGGTAGATTTCAGGAAGAGTATTTTGGAGCTAAATTATGCTTTTTCTTTTTTTTGTCTTTAGCACCTCATGGAAAAAATAACTTATGAAAAATTATAGAAAGGCATTGAGTGTTGTTTCATAGTTAAAATTGATGTTTATGTCTATCACCTTGTCATCTGGCAAAAGAAGCTCACAGTTAAGCTTGTCAATTTATATAAAGTCCTGAAAACTTTTATGACCTCTACGTAAAGATCAGATGAGAGATACTTGACTTTTAGTATCAGTTGTTATGACATATGTATTTATATAATGTTTCCAGAGGGAAATTCTGGGAGACTTTTATTTGGCTAAGTTTTATTGTTAATTTTATTTTACTAGCCAGAAGCTTCAAGAATGACTTTGAAGCTAGATGTTTCAAGACTTGGCTTGCTTGCAGTCATATAGTTAGTGAGAGCTCCAACCACACAGTATTTTCTTTTTTGGTAGATTACCAAATTGAAAAAGAGAGAGAAGGAGAGACAGAGACAGAGCACTAGGACTTTTGAGCCACAGTACCCCGTTTCGTCTGTTGCATCATTTATCTGTCCTGGGGGAAAAAGAAGAATCACTTTGATACTGTTGCCACAAACTAGATATTACAATGTGTTCCAGGTTTTCCTGTTTCGAATGAACAGTACTTTTATGAAGAAGCTAGGAGCAATTATTGAATTCTTATATAGGCAACTGATTCTAATTAGAAGAAAAAGCTTTAGGTTTTCAGTCAAATAGAGTAAAACAAGTTCCTTGTGATTTGAGGGTTTAGGGGAGTGGGAAAGTGCCATTGTCTGTATATTAATGTTTTGTTCTATTTTCAGAAAAGCAATTTCATTTCAATGTTAATGACCATGCAGCCTGCAATTCAAGTAAGTGGTTGTTTTCTTTTTTTTTGAAAAATATTTTTATGAGATTAGTATAATAAAATTAGAATAATTAGTCAAATACTAAAATTATCAAAATGTTTTTTATTGTGCTAGTTTTTTAAGCATCAAATTTTAATAACAGCAGTACTATACTTTGACTTTCTATTTCTGAAAGGATTTTGATTCTAGGCTTATACTGAATATTTATAAGAATCGAAAATACCTTAGGGTTGGTGGGTCCATCTTGTTTATATATCTCTGGGAAAAGAATTGACTATTTTGTAGTTTTCCTGTCATTACAATTTAGTATATATTTGTAGTTAAAAAGTTTTCAGTGAAAAAATGTAATTTTTTTAATTTTAGATAATTGTACATGTGCCTTATAGTGCCTGTAAATAACCAATTATTAAAATTTGAAGGGTGGTATTTTTTTCCTTTTTTTCTTTTTTCTCTTTTTTTGGTGGGGGGAGGCAGCATGAAGATAAGGAGAATGGTCTTACATTTGAATGATTTCCAGAGTTGGTACAGTATTTGCTATATTATTCTGATATCCTTTTAAATTTTCTTTCTTTTGCTATAAATAACACATGATTGACTACTCACTTAAGGACCAAATCACATTGAAGGTCTACCTAGAAAGATGCAAGCAGTTGATAATAAAATTTGCTGGAAAAGTGAAACTTCTAGAGTCCATCAGACTTCCTTTCTGATCCTCATTCTGCAGTGCTGATTGTGAGATTTTGGGAGGTTATTTTACTTTTCTGAATGTGTGCTTCTGTACCCCTAAAGTGAGGATAGTAGCCCTTACTTTGATGGTAGTGGTGAGGAATCAATGAGATAGCATGCACAAAGTGCCTAGTGGCATGTGTATTGCATAATAGGCACTGGAGAAGTTGGTTGTATCATTTGTACAACAAAACTGTCAAGATGTATAACTGGAGAGTATACCTGTGTGGTGCAAGTATTTTTCTTTTTCCCCTCCCTTCTTTTCTTTCTTTCTCCCCTCCCCCTTTTTTTTTTAAATTAAGAAAGGAGGCTTATCAAGCTAGCAGTGGGTGATAGACCAGAGAAGAGAATTTATCAGATGGCTGAGGACAACTCTAAATGTGACCTCGCTCGTACTCTCTCCTATGCTGTGCAGCTCTGCCCCTCTTCTCTGCCAGTAGAGAGTTCTATGGCTCTGTTTTTCTGTTGCTGTTTGGGAGCCCATGGCAGCCTCCCGGATGGGCTCATTCTTTCCCTTTGGGTCTTCTCAGATCCATCATGAGTCTGATCAGAAATTCTTCTTACTCAAAACCATTTATTATCTGATTATTCTTTGCGTTCTCTTTTTATCCAAGTCTCGTAAATGTCATCAGGTTCATGCTGATTGCATATTTTTTGATTCCTTATAGTGTGCTTTTTTATTATTTCCACATCAACCATGCTTTTTCTTATTTCTACACTAGTGGCTGTTAATTGTTTCTTAACTCGGTGGATATTTTCAGTTTTGTCTTATAGTTTTATGAAACCTTCTCTAATCTAGATTCTGCAAATTCATCTTTATTAATTCTTTTCTGAGGACATCCTTGACATCTCTCATGGAAACTTTTGCTTCTTTGACTGATGAATGTGGGAACTTTCCAGGATTTTCCCCCCTTTCTCTGCTAACTGTATTAGATAGGTATCTAGGTATTCATAAATGTTATTCATAAATACCTTACAGAGAGGAGATATCCAGTAATCCAGTAAATAGCTATTATCAGTTGGTTTCTTATTAATTTAATACATTAAGACCTTGTTTTGTTTTGTTTTTATCTTTCATTCTGCCTAGTATATAAACACAATCTAAAAACCATGCATAATAGTTCCTGATCTCTTTTGGGTCTTAGTCCTGTTTTGAGAATCTGACAAAAGCTATGAACTCCCCGCTCTGAGAGAAAGGGGTTTAATTTTGTCTAAATGTAAGCAAGTTTATGTACCTTCTCAGGTTCCTCTATAGACTGCTCATGGATTAAGAATTTCTGCAATGTGACAATTTTCTGCATGTTTGAGAACGACTTTTATACATGAAGTTTTTATTATTAACGTCTCACTTTTAGCAACATTAATATTCCTCTGACTAGCCCAGGTTATTTGAGGATATTTTGCTTGCAATAATAGTAAAATTGAGATACCCTTCTCTTCCTAACGTGGGGAGAAATTAGAATGTCCTTTGTTAATGTTAGCTTCTTCATTTTCACACATAATTGTTCAAAACCAGTGGTTAAAGGACAAATAACATATTCCATCGACTATAAGATACTATTGACTGTAAGATGGATCTTGATTTTGATATCTGACATTTGCTTATGTCTACTCCTTAATTATACCAAGAACTATTTTTGACTGAATAGCGTGTGCTAGGTATTATACTGCATTCTGGGATTACAAACAGTATTAAGACATGCTTATGAAGGGCAGATTTCGATAGTAAATCTTTGCTGTACTGCCTTTGAAATAATTTTAAGAGAATTCAGGAAAATAACATCGTGTCTTTTTCCTAAAACTCCACTGCCTCTGCCACCCCCATCCTGAGCAGATGCCCTTCTCAGCTCACGTGAGCATAGTGACACCCTCCCCTGGGACCTTCCCCCCTCGCCCCCAGTGGATACCCTCCTTATAGCCTTCTCAGGGTCTGACACCGTGCACAGGACGGTCCCCATGGGTGGACACCGTCTCACTTCCCTCAAGCTCTGACTCTTCTTCTCAAGCTACCCTCCTGCCAGAACCCCCATCACTTCACTTGGGCTCGATACCCCTTTCTGCATTGAGAACTGATGTCTTTTCTCTAAATAATCTTGTAATAAAGCCTTTGTAAAATTTTAAAATTTTACAAGTGTTAGTTTAATAGTACATTTATGTCACTATTTAAACAGGGGTTGCTCAGGAAGTATTTTTGGCTCTGCAAGTCAATAGGCAAAATCAAGGCAATTATGTACATACTTATATAATGATCCATTTTCTACTGTAAAAATCATACTTGGCTTATGGGCCATGCAAAATCAGATGACAGATGAGATTATTTAGAAATTTTTTAAGATACCACTCTTATTATGATTTAAAGTTTACAAAATACCATTTATACATTTATTCAATCCTTTATCTATTATTCAACAAATGTTGCTAAACCCAATGCTTGATGTACAAAGATGTATCCTGTAAGACAGTGTTTATTAACCCATTTTACAGCCAAGATGCTGAGACTCTGGTCAAGTAACTTATTAAACTTATTTAACAAGTGAAATAAGACTATAACTTGTTGATTTTTATCCTCTTGGCTTGATAGTAAGATCTGTTAACTAATTAGGGGTTCACTTACATTTACCAAGATATGGAATATTGAAAATGACTCAAGTATCTTTACTACTAGTTTGCTTCTCTTATATACTTTCTGTGAGCTGCTGCAGTTTTGTATACGTTGTATTATATATGGTCTATAATTCATCATTTAAATATAGATGTGGGTTATGCTGACTTAACAAGGTCGTATCCCTTCGTTTGGTTGGTGGTTTCTCTAGGTATGGTTTGGAGAAGACCTGCCTCTGAGTCCGCGGAGCCCTCTGACCCCCAGGCACGGGCCAGGCTTGGCCGATGTTTGTCAGTACGATGAGTGGATAGCTGTAAGGCACAAAGCCACCCTGTTGCCCATGCAAGAAGACCTGTCAATCTGGTTATCTGGTTTATTAGGTAAGACTGGAAAAGATACTCAAAATTATACTCTCTTATTGAGTAAATATTTCTCGAGAACCTTATTCTTTGTCAACGAGTGATTGTTGCAGAGGCTGTGGGATACACTAGTGAATGAAGCATTCAATGTCCTCACAAATCCTTGTTCTCACAAATCTTATATCCTAGCTGGGGAGATACTCGGTTTCACCCTGACCCTTTGGGCTTGAATAGTAATGAGGTTAGTGGTTGAAGATGTCAGTAAGCTTTGAATAATCAAAATTTTCACTGTTAATGTTAAAATCTTTTTTTAGACATAGGTCTAATTGGGATCTATATTTTACTGATTATTTTCCCCCACTTAATCTTGTATGAGGCATGAGATTCTGAGTGGAGTTCACAATGCAATTGAAATGATTATTCTTTCTCAGGCACTGAGAGGTGGAGGCACATGATACCCAGGAGGAAATGCCAGGTTGGAGAATGGCTGGCATCATATTGCTTTGCTCAGTTAAAGACAACGATAAGAGCCCTGACAGGCGTGGCTCAGTGGGTTGGGCATCATCCCACAGAGTGAAGTCAGTTCCCCATCAAGGCACAGGCCTGGGCTGCAGGTTCTGTCTCCAGCTGGGGTGTGTCCAAGAGGCAAAGCGATCGATGTTTCTTTCCCACAGTCATGTTTCTCTCTGTCTCTTTCTCCCTCCTTTCCTCTCTCTAAAAACAAACAAATACAATTTTTAAAAAAAACATGATAAGTGCTCTGAACTTTCTCCGCAGAAAAAAATTCTTGTAAAACACAATTTCATGTAAAATTGCAAGGTTTTTGTGAAAAGGAATATGGAAAGCTCATCCATGGCCTTCCGAAGATAATTAAAAACACAGCAAACACGTGCTTCATATCTGGTATCCGTTTGATTTAGGGGAAAAAAAAATTAAAGATTTTATTTATTTATTTTTAGAGAGGGGAAGGGAGGAAGAAAGAGAGGGAAAGAAACATCAATGTGTGTCTGCATTTCGAGTACCTCTTGCTGGGGGACCTGGCCTGCAACCCAGGCATGTGCCCTACATTGGGAATCGAACCAGCTACCCTTTGGTTCGCAGTCTGACACTCAGTCCACTGAGTCACACGAGCCAGGGCTGATTTAGAAAATTTTTTAAAAGTTTATTAAGTAATAAAGCTTCTATGGAAGGTATTTTAGAAGTGAAAAGTTAGTATTCTCTCAGTGTTCGTTATGTTACTGTCTTTCATTTTTAAGTTGCATTAGAGTCCTTCTTTATAGAGAATTTTTCTTTTTCTTGTGTAAGCAGCAATAATGTGCAATGAATAAACACTTAACCTTAATGGTGACTATTAAAATAGTCACCATTAGAACCAAAAGAACTTTGGTCTTTTAAAAATGAAATAAAAGACATGCCAATTTTCTTCTCTTTTCTTTCTGTACTTCTACATCACAGGCATTTTGGTTTCAGTTGTTATTTTTTAATTTGACATTTTCTGCTGTTGTAAGTGTACCTTCTAAGAGTGAATGATTGTATCAGCCCTAATCTAATTATATTTAATTAAATTTTAACCATACTATTTGAATTTACTATTTCTAGAAGAATCTCAACTTTGGAATATGTTTTTAGGTATTGAAATTAAGGCAGAAAGATTATTGGAAGAACTTGATAATGGGGTACTGTTATGCCAGCTGATTGATGTTCTTCAAAACATGGTGAAAACATGCAACTCTGAAGAACCAGAGGTAAATAGATGTTTGACAGTGGTGATTTTATACCTTGGTGCCTACTAATTTGTTTCTGTTCATTTCTTATTATCGCTACAAGATTATAAATTTCCACCCCAACTATCTGTAAGACCTTGGATAATTTACTTAACCTTTTTGAGAATATATAAAACTGTTCTTACTTGTAAAGTGGAGGTATTAACATTTACCTTGTAGAATTTATTTGCAAGGATTCAGCAAAATTAAGTGAGACATCTACAGATGGTGTTCAGTTAGTGCCTAGTGCATAGTGAATACCCAGTAGTTAGTTCTTCCTGAGACAAGAATACAGGTGGTTGTGAGAGTTAAATGAGAAAAGAGCTTGTGGTGGGTCCTGGTACATGGTTAGGAGCTATTATCATCTTTCATTCTTCACATATTGTGTTGAGGAGCAAGTTCTATAAACATTGGTTGAATGAATAATAATTTTTTTAGCCAGTTTCTGTTGACCCTCAAGTTATGATATGAAGTAGTAAGGTTTTCTCTCTTTTCATCAAACATGGGTGTTTTCACATGGCGTCTGGGCATTCACATGGTGATGGCAAAGTATGAAGTGGTATCATCTTTCTGGGGGACAGTAGGTGACGCACACACACATACACACTGAAAATAAAGGCCATCATAAAAAAGGTGAAGGAATAAAGAAGTACACGTTGATAATTACCACAGAGTCACCGGAATGTAAAGTACAGCATAGGGAACATAGTCAATCATATTGTAATAACTATGTAGTGCCAGTTGGGTACTGGAAATACCTAGGGAGCACTCTGTAAAGTATATGATCGTCTAACCATGATGCGGTGCACCTGAAACTAATGTAAAATAATATTGAATGTAAAATGTAATTGAAAAATAAAATTAAAAGAAAGGAAAATAAAGCACATCCTGTGATACATAACATAATTCTACTTTCAGGAATTTGTTCTAAGGAAATAAATTGCAAATTCACAAAATGTGCAAAAAATTAGGAACAACTTAAATGCTCATCAATAGAGAGAAGTTGTTAATGATAGTACCTAAACACACAGGGATATTATCCATTCATTTATGAGAAATGACAATCTGTTCTTTTTTACCCTGAAAGATGCCTGCAACCTACTGTTAAGTGTGCAAGAACACAACTTGCAGTGGTGAGCACGCAATACAATGCACAGGTGATGTGTTAGAGAATTGTGCACTTGATACCAGTATAATTTTGGTAACCAGTGTCACTCCAGTAAATTCAACAGAGAGGGAGAAATAGTGTGAGTGAGCACAGACACACATAAATCGGATTGCAGAACAGTGTGCTTGTTTGGCATTCTGCAGGTACACAGATAGTCTTCCAAGATTATATATTTGTGCCTAGAAATGTCTTGCTAAAATGTGGGTTTTCTTGCTAAAATGAAAGGATTTCAATTGATACTAACCATCTTTGTATTTGGCTGTATTGTTTGATTTTTTTTGTGGGGGCGGCAATGGTCATATATTCTGAATACATTAGAAAAACTTGGAAGACTTTTAATTCTGGAAAATAATAGCAACAGGAAGGATATATACGGAACTGGTAATAGTGGTTATCTCTAGGGAGAGAGAGGGACTGGGGGGTGGAGGTAGGAGAGAGACTTGTATTTACTATGCCTAGTGCGTTTTAAAAAATTATATGCATGAGTTGCTTAATCAAGTAAAAATTTAAACTAAAAAAAAAACCTTCCAACCTCAGCAGTATTATATAAATGCTTTTGGGTTACATAGTCAAAAAATTAGGGTTCTGTTTGATTTAAGAATGGGCTCCCACTTCCTTATTTGATAGTCTCCTTAGGAAACTCAGAACTGTGTTTATGAATCTGCAAATAAGGAATTAAGCAGACATGAGCGTGTCTGTTAATCTTTAATAAGGCACTACTTTTGTGTTTGTATTGAACTATGAATGGAGCAACATATTATGGAGATGTACTTTGGAAGTATTAGGCTGTAATTTTTTAATTTAAATTTATTTTAAATGATTCTTGTGTCATTTCAAAAAAGAAAAAGGTTAGAAATGCTTGATCCTACTGCTAATTTTAACCAAATTGTTTCTGAAATATACTTAAAGGAGAGTAAAATAAAATAATTTAAAATAAAATAATTTTGAAGATACCTGTTCACTTTAATGTTACACACTTTTTACTTATATTCAATGCACTGATCATTTGTTTAGTGATACTAAAATGGGTATCTAATGAAAATACCATGGAGGAATTTTTGAAATTACTCTTTTGTCTTTTCCAGAATTTTCCAATGAGAAAAGTGCCCTGTAAGAAAGACGCTGCCTCAGGTTCGTTCTTCGCTAGAGACAATACTGCGAACTTCCTTCACTGGTGTAGGCACATTGGAGTTGATGAGACTTATCTCTTTGAATCTGAAGGTTTAGGTAAGTGTTGTCATCACTATTGGGTTTAATGTTTATTGCAAGATTTTTAAATAACTCATTCCTAATTTTTCTTTCCAAGCAAGGACTCAAATGCCATATCTTACTCTTCTAGAAAAATGTATACTTTTTTTTCAAAAAGATGTTATTTATTTCTAGAGAGAGGGGAAGGGAAGGAGAAAAAGAGGGAGAGAAACATCAGTGTGTGGTGCCCTCTCACGCACCCCCAACTGGGGACCTGGCCCGCAACCCAGGAATGTACCCTGACTGGGAATCGAACCAGCAACCATTTCATTCCGGGGCTGGCAGTCGATCCACTGAGCCACAGCAGCCAGGGTGAAAAAAACTTATACTTTAAATTTATGTCAAACAATTAGAGAATCTGATTCTAAAATATATTAAGTTTTTCATTAATAGTTAAAAGTCTTATATATCTAGAATGCCCTAGAAATATTGTACTTTCTCAATGAGTTGACTACAGGAAGTTTCTGGATGAATGCTTTACTAACTAATGTTTTCATCAAGAATTACTCTGCTTAAGTAGACAATTATAGAAATAACAGAAGGCTATCTGATGTATGTTCATGATTTTAGATTTACCTTGTAAGCAGCAGCTGCCAACTTGATTATCAAAATGGGTTAATGTTTTTGACAGTTCATTTGACAAAGTCATGCTCTACTGAAGAATTATTAACATACCACTTACTCTCTGTGCAGTGACTGAAGTGGAAGCTATCTAAATTTTAAACTATATATTGTATATAGTTCCTCAAAGCATTTATATATGTATATATATATTGATCTCTATCATACCACACACACACATACACAGAATTTATGGAGCAGTAGTATCCCAAGGGTGGGTCATGGGAGTAGGACTCTGCCCTGGTAGAGAGAAGTATTTTAGCACATTGTGTAGAATTGCTGGTTTATGGTGATAATAAAAAGCAAACTGACTTTTAGTTGGTTTTATTACTGTTTTAAAATTCTTGACTGACCTTGCATAGCCTTTTTGCCTGCACTCAGGGTGGGCTGCCCCCACCGTTCCCCATTTAGTATGCCTCTGACGTTCCGATCCACTCTAGAATAAAAAAACAAAATGCAGTTGATGGATGTCTTACCTCCAGTTTGCACTCTGCTTTAATCCAGGTGTACTGATTATTATTGACAATGTGATTGATTAAATGGCATATACCGCTTCTAGAAATCAAAGGGGAATGGAAATGCTTTGACTTGTCTGTTTTCCAGTTTATTACTTCTGAAAGGATATAAGATTGTTGTATATTTCTCATTCTCAGCAGGAGGCATTTTCTAACTGTTCTGACAGTCAGTATAGGATTAAATAAAGCACTGCCAATAACATTAATTCATTTCTGGGCATTGAGCTGATGAGCTAATGTTTTTACTTTCTGAAGGTCTCAGAGATGAGCCTCTTCATTTTTTACATTGTGCTAGGAACTCAAAGCAATTATAAAAAGGAAATACTCTATTTCAAGGCATGTCTAAGTGTTCAGAGAAACAAGCTTAGTAAAAATTTCAGGATAAATTCCTTTCGGTATGAATTTTAAAGTCAAACATAGGCCTTTTTATTACTTTGTGCTTGAGGTATAAAGTAAATGTTATTCATAAATCAAAAAACAACTATCATTTCCATTCAGGGGATCAGTATATATATATAATTTAGCACATAAAACCATTGTTATATTAGGTCTCAGGAGTTTAACCTAGAGCTTCTAACTCTAAGGACAGGAAAAGAAAATTAGATGATCCATGACTACCATATTGGTACATTTAGCATGAGTTCTAATCATCAGGGTTTTTTTGTTTTGCTTTTTTTTTAAGATTTTATTTATTTGGTTTTAGAGAGAGGAGGTGGTGGGGCAAAGAGAGGGAGAGAAACATTGATCAGTTTCTTCTCACACACCCTGCAACTGGCGACCTGGCTCAAAACCCAGGCATGTGCCCTGACTGGGAATCACATGGGTGACTTTCAGGTTCACGGTCTGGCACTCAGTCGACTGAGCCACATCAGCCAGGGCTACTTTGTTTTTTTTATTTTTTTTTTAAGGATCTCTGTTTGAACTGTTAGGCTCAACATTTGGGTTCCTTTTTAATGTAAAAATTTTTAAAATTATGGTAAAATATGCAAAATAAAGTATATCATTATAACCACTTTTAAGCATATGAGGTTTCTTTTTTATAGTATTAAATATATTAAGTTATACTTCATGTAACATGAAATTCATCATTTCAAAATGTGCCTTTCAGCGGTTTTTTTATATGTTCACTATAAAACCATCAACCATCACCACTAATTAATTCCATCAGTCGCAAAAGCAAACCCGTACCTGTTAGCAATTAGGCCCAATCATGTACTCCCTACCTTCCTTCCCCCGCAACCACTAATCTATGTTTTTTCTCTGTGGATTTGTGTATCCTGGATATTTCATATATGTGGAATCAAATTATGTGGCCTTTTGTGTCTGGCTTCATTATTTAGCATAATGGCTTATTTATGTTGCAGCATGTAATAGTACATACTTCATTCCTTTTTATGGCTGAATGATAATCCATTGTATGGATAGACCACATTTTTAAAATTCATTATCGGCTAGTGGACATTTTGGTTGTTTCTATTAATACTGTTTGGTTGTTTTTACTTTTTGGTTATAATGACTAATGCTGCTATGAATATTTATTTACAAGTTTTTGGGCAGCCCTTTGTTTTATATCGTCTCAGGGACATGCCCAGGAGTGGGATTGCTGAGGCGTACCAGAACTCTACGCTTACCTTTTCGAGAGACTACCAGATTGTTCACAATGGCCCTACCGTTTTATATTCCCACTAGCAATGCACAGGAGTTCCAATTTCTTAACCTTTTCTCCAACACCTGTTGTTTTTCTTTCCTCCTCTCCTGCCTTTTTGTTGTTGAACTTCTTCTTTTCTTCCTCCTTCTCCCTCCTCTCTGTCCTCTTCCTCCTTCTCCCCTTCCCCTTCTCCTTCTTACATCCTGGGGGTATGAAATGGTATCTCACTGTGGTTTTGATTTGCACTTTCCTAATGGCTAATAATATTGAGCATCTCTTCATGGGCTTATTGGCCATTTGTATATCTTCTTTAGAGAAATGTCTATTCACATCTTTTGCTCAGTTCTAGGAGTCATTTGTCTTGTTTTGTTGACTTGTAAGAATTCTTTATTGTAGATACCAGTCTTTAGGGTTTTTTTTTTTTTTCTCTTTATTGATAGTGTCTTTTATTGCAAAAGTTTTCAATTTTGATGAAATTCAATTTATCTTTTCTTTGATTGTGCTTTTGGTGCCATATCTAAAAAACCATTGCCTATCCAAGGTCACACAGATTTCACCTGTGTTTCCTTCTAAAAGTTTTATAGTTTTAGCTCTTACATTTAGGTCTTTGATCCATTTGGAGTTATTTTTTGTATATGGTGTGAAGTAGGGGACTAAATTCATTATTTTGCATGTATCTATCCAGCTTTCCTAGCACCATTTGTTGCAAAACTTTTTCCCCCTGTTGAGTTGTCTTTGCACCCTTGGAAGGTCAAGTGAACATAAACATATAGGTTTATTCCTGGATGCTCAATTCCTTTCCATTGGTCTTTATCTCTATTTTTATGCTAGTAACACAGTCTTCTTTAGTATAGCTTTGTAGTAAGTTTGAAATTGGGAAGTCTGGGTCTTCCAACTTGGTTCGTTTTCAAGATTGTTTTGGCAATTTCATGTCTCTACAACTCCGTGTGAATTTTGTGATTATCTTGTCCATTTTTGGAAGAAAAGGAATTGATAGATACTGTATTGAATCTGTAGGTCAGTTTGAAGGATACTGCCATCTTAACAATATTATATCTGCCAGTCCACGAATGCAGGATGTCTTTCCATTTATTTATATCTTCTTTAATTTCTTTCAACAATGTTTTGTGGTTTTCAGTGTACAAGCCTTACACTTCTCTGGTTAAATTTGTTCTTCAGTAGTTTATTCTTCTTGAAGCTATTGTAAAGGGAACTGTTTTCTTAATTGCACTTTCAGATTATTTCTTGCTAGTGTGTGAAGTGCAGTGATTTTTATATATTGATCTTGTAACCTGCAACTTTGTTGAATGTACTTGTTATCTCTAATAGTTATTTTTTGTGGATTATTTTAGGTTTTGGGTTTGTTTTTTTTAATACTAAGGACCACACAATCAGTGACTAGAGATAGTATCCTTTCTTTTTCGGTCTATATGCGTTTTATTTGTCTTCTCTAAATTCCCTGGCTAGAACCTTCAGTACACTGTTGAATAGAAATGGGTGAAAATGGACCTTTTTGTCTTTTTCCTGGTCTTAAGAGGAAGACCTTTAGTCTTTCACCATTAAGAGTGATAATAGCTGTGGGTTTTATATGTATGTCCATTTTTATATTTAATAGTTCCATCTATTCCTAATTTGTTGAATTTTTTTATTATTAAAGGGTCTTTGATTTTGTCAAATGTTTCTTCCATGTCTGCTGAGATAATTGTGTATTTCTTTTCCTGTATTATCTTAATATGATATATATGGATTAATTTTCATATGTTGAATCAACCGTGCATTCTGGGATAAGTCCCACTTGCATCTGGATTCAGTTTGCCAGTACTGCATTGAGGATTTTTATATCTATATTCATAAAGGATATGGGTCTTTAGTTTTCTTGAGATGTCCTTTTTTTTTTTTTGCTTTGGTGTCAGGGTAATATTGGCTTCATAGAATGAATTAGGAGTGCTCCCTCATCTATTTTTTGGAGGAGTTTAACAAAGCTATTAACACATAGTTCTATGCTAAAGATAGTTTAGAATAAAATTGAGGTGATATATCTCTGCAAATAGGATCTCCTGTTGAGAGATCTGAATTATAAATAATTTAATGTTACTTAAGCCTTTAGTTTTTTCAGAATTAAAATACATGCAAGTTTTCATCCTCTTCTTGTTAACCTTTTTTTCCTAATTTATGGAAGACAATAATATGTGGAGAAGGCAAAAATGTCTTTTCTAAGTTTCCAAATGAGAAATGTCCTCATCATTCTTTTATTTCACTTCTTTCATGCCAGAAGTATATTTTTATATTTAATTTTACCTCTTAAAATGTGCTTTTTTTCCTCACAGTTTTGCACAAAGATCCAAGACAGGTGTATCTTTGTCTTCTTGAAATTGGTCGAATTGTTTCAAGGTGCGTATTGCACAATTTCAGAATTTCAATGTCATAAATATTTTTAAGCTGTTTTATTTTAGGTAGAACACTGTTTTCTATAAATAAAATATTTTATTGAAATAAAGTAACTTAATTTTTTTCTATTTTTTTCTGTTTCTTTGTTAACTTTGTTCTGTTTGCTCAAGCCAAGTCATGTGTCAACATCTACTGGCTCATATAACTTGCCTTCCTTTAATGTTAAACTGTAAAAGTGGTAACTTAAAATTAATTAGATTAAGAATAAAGAGCATGTAGTCTGTTAGCAGTTCAAGGCAAGGCCAGTCCTCTAGACACAAAGAGGAACTGATACGAAGTCCACACCTATACCTTGTGTCCTCCCTACCTGGCTCAGCCCTGGCTTTACTCGCATGTTAATTTTTAAGGTGCCTTTCAAAATCCTTGGCTGAAAATTGAGAGCATCTAGTAACCCAAATATATGCTCTGATGTGAAGTTTACAATCTGAATTTTTGGCAATCTGCGGGACATTAAAAAGCATTCTAGATATCCCAGTGAAACAGTTGGGAGAAGAGAGTTGTCCAGACTTCATTTAAAAATAAAATATAACCTGTTGTGAGTGCAAGGAAGTGCTTGGCTAAGACTCCACTTGAATGATGAGATCTCCTAATTGGCTTTCAGATATGGGGTTGAGCCACCAGTATTAGTAAAACTTGAGAAAGAAATTGAGCTAGAAGAGACCTTACTTAATACTTCGGGGCCCGAAGATTCCATCAGCGTCCCAAAATCATGCTGTCAACATGAAGAGCTGCATGAAGCTGTAAGTAATTGCCATACTTTGACCATGATGTGCTGGTCTCCTAGTCTGCCACAGGTGATGCTATGTTTAAAAGAAACTGTTTCTTATTTAGAATATACACTAGTACTAATTTTCACTCCCCGGTGAGTTCAAGGCTCTATATGATAAAGGTGACTTTTTGTTACTTGTGTGTGGTGAGGAATGCTGGGGGAAAAAAATCTCAATGCATCCTGAAGGGTACTGTGGTCTACAAGGACTGATTTTTTTTTTTTTAACATAGTAGTGTTATAATCTGATTTAAAAATTATAAGGATTACTCTCATGGTTATATAGAATTTATGTTGATTTTGTTGTAATAATCCAGGCATAACATGATGAGAACCTGCACTCAAGCGGTAGTATTTGGAAGAAAGCAAAAAGGAAAAAAATGTAAGACATATTTAGAAGGTAGAACTGACAGGCATACTAATTCTGATACGGAGGGAGAAAATCTGGCATGATTACTAAGGTATCTAAGTAAAAGGCATACTGATACTTGGGGAGTAGAGGTGGCAGAAAAGTTGAGAGAGCAGATTGATGGGGTTTTTGGTACATTCTTCCTGACGGGATGTGTGCAGACTTGGATCTCAGCCAGAAAGTCTCCTTAACTTTAACTGATTATCATTACACAGCAGTTACCAGAATTGCAGTTGGTTGGGCCGTGTGTTTTCTGCGGTGACTGTAGTGTAACACATGGTGGAGGTGAACTAAGTATCAAACATTTTCTCTGCTTAGGCTGTTGCTTAGATTTCATGGTCTTTTTGGGATTGTAGTGTTATATGAGAGTGCTTAATGTGCAAAATTATTTAAGAAATAACAAATAAGTCATTACTGATAAACATGTTGAAAGTGTTGCTTTGATTGTTTTATTTAATGTAATAAAAGTCTATAGTAAAACATTTGGATAGGCTTGAAAGACAGATGAAGAAAATGTCAGCCTAAACAACTTTATCAGGCCAAAATGTATTTACAATGTATTATATTAATGATTTGTACAGTGACTATGAATATCAATATGTGATGCAGTGATAATGTAGATTTAACTTATTTGAAATCTCATATAACCTAAAATAATGATAATTAAATCAAAAGGTAACATTCATAAAATATATTTTATTAAATAGAAAATATGATGTGTTAATTTCCCTATTATATAAAGACCATATACAATTTGATAAGAAAAACATTTCCAGGAGGTAAATGGGCAAGGAGTGTTGTTCACACAAGAAGAAAATATAGTGTTGAAACTTGCTGATAATCAAGGAAATTGGATATACAATTTTCCCTGTTAGGAGAATTTATTGAAATTATGAAACCTAGTGCTGGTAAATTCTGGTAAAACTATACTTAGGGATTGCTATTAACAATGGAAAATGATGTCAACTTGAAAAACAAATTGACAAATTGATATCAAGAGCCACAAAAACTTTGCTCTCTCATTTTTATTATAATTGAAGAGGGAAAGAGAAAGCATGAATGAAAGTGCTTGTTGCACTATTATGTATAATGGTGAAAAATTGGAAGCCATGTAAATATTCTCAAATGGGGCGATGGCTAGTCAAGCTAGCGTTCTTTATCTTAACAGTAATCGTTTTATGTAATAATTTTGAAGACTATGTAGCAATAAGAAAAGTGTTTATTTTGTGTAAAGTATGTATATAGAGACAAACTGTGTAAGAATAAGGAGAATGGAAATACTTAATAGTAGGATAGTGCCTTTGCAGGTAATTATCATTTCTTTATCTAGTTCCTTTAACGTAATAATGTGAAGCATGCAATGTGTAAAACCAGAAGAGAACATTTCTTATAGCATTTATTTCTTTTAGGCTCATCCTCCTTATTTAGATGATGGGTTAGTGCTAATTTGTACTGTTGAATATAAATGATATTTGGATATTTTAAACAAAGAGAATAAATGACTTGTCTGCATTCTTGTTTTGAAACTAAAAAGGAACACATTTCTTTAAATATATATGGGCTATAAGAGTACATTCAATGTCCACCTATGCATATGTGAACTACAGAGAACTTGAGGTCATGTTTAAATAAGGAACAATTAATATCTGATTCATTATTTAGAATATTGTTAAGAAGTGGTATACCACTGCAATTCTGTGTACATGGAACTTTTACGGATTGAAAGTACGATTGAAACAAATACCTCTCTTCATATTACTTTGGTTAACTAATGTGTATGTGGTTCTAATAATTGTAAATTCTCTACCCAAGCTTAGTTTCTTTTTAGGCATTTTATGGATGTGCGTGTATGAATACGTGTGCACATGTACACATACACCCAGGCAGTGAATTAGAGAAACTTGAATGAATGGCTTATGAAACTCAGTTCTATTTACGATCATGCTATTTCATTAAACAAATGATGTAGGCAGATAAATTCTGAACCTTCTGGTCAGGCCCTGGTGAATCCACATGTTCATTCATTTTGGGTAGATAATTAAGACAGTCGTTAATTTCCACTAGTGGTCGGCTAAACTGGGTATACCTGGAGAGACTTTCTTTAACATAAATTCAAATGAATTTGTTTTGATATTCTGTGTGACAGGTAATTGAGGAAAACAATAATAGCTTTTTAAAGAATAAGATTTTAGGAAAACAAAATATTTTTCTTGGTGGCTGATATGTGACTTTTTTCCAATCAGTATCTCAATAGATATTTTCATTTAACCTATTTACTTTAATTTCCATGTTTTAAAAGTAGAATTCCTGGATTTATTTTTTATATTCTAGTTTTTACGTTTTATAGATATTTGCTGCAATTAAAAATTCTGTAAGCTTCTTGAGGGATAGATGTAGGGTTTTCTCCCTAACTTTCATCTCTTTAGCAGACTGTTGAAACAAAGTGAACACTTCTAGAAAAATGCCTCTTGACCTAAAATTTTTAGAATTTCACCCAGTCCTGGGAGAATAGATATAAATGTCTCTGTGTATTTTAACATTAACTTTGGAATAAATCTAGATATTCCCTGACAATAATAAGTTAGCACAGTGTTAAGGGACAAATGAGAGTTTTTAACATAAGCTTTATCTGACTGGCCCTATCTTTTTTCATTTTTATTTTTTAATCCTCATCTGAGGATATATTTATTGATTTTAGAAAGTAAGGGAGGGAGAGAAGGTTGGAGGGAGGGAGGGAGGGGCAGAGAGAAGTGGAGGGAGAGAGAGAGAGAGATTAATGTGAGAGAGAAACATTGATCAGTTGCCTCCTGTATGAACCACCTCCAGGGATCGAACCCACAAGCTAGATCTGTGCCCTGATGGGAATTGAACCCACAACCTTTTTTGGTGTATAGGACGATACTCCAACCAACTGAACCACCCAGCCTGGGCTGACTGCCCCTATCTTTGATTTGACAGAGGTACATTAATCCGGGGCTTAAAATAATTCAAGCTTAATTATTAATGTGGCTTATTGAGTGTGCTTTAAATTGACTTCACTGTTGTATACATTCACAAATTTCTCCAGTGGTCAGTGAATGCACTAAAAGCCTGATGGCACTGGGGAGAGAAATAGAATGAAACTGAAGTTTTAGCTGGCAGTGATGAAGTTTTAATGTATTAGCTAATGTCTAATCTCAGGATTTGTCAACAAGTAAAGAGAATTAAAAGTTGAAATGTCTTTACATTTTTATCTTTGAGTTTGATTTTCCCAGCTATCATATAACCTTGTATTTTAATGTTAAAATACTTTTGTCACAAGCACTAATTGTTATTTATTTTTAATCTCAGGTTACACATATTGCTGAAGACCCTCCTTGTAGTTGTTCTCATCGATTTTCTATTGAATACTTATCTGAAGGACGGTACCGACTAGGAGATAAAATACTCTTTATAAGAGTAAGTCTACCGTTTACATTCTATTTACATACAGATTTTGTTTTAAAATTAGACTTATTGCTTTACCAACCTCCTTTTGCTCTCCTTTTACTTTTTTAAAAATTGGTGTTATTAATGAAAGAATTTCACTGTACAGAAAAAATACAGAATTCTTGCTTTCATGAATATGTAAGAACTTTAGATGCACACCTTTAACACAACAAACTAACTACAGAATAGCTAAGACTATGATGAAATTGAGGATAATTTGGGGGAAAAATCTTTGTATAACAGGTAATTTATTCCATTTTTCAAATTTTCTAAAAAGGAATAAGTTTTCATTGTAATAAGAAAAACACAAAACATCTAAAAGATTAAATGTCATAATAAGAAAAGGAAATAGAAGCATTGCAGTTTATAGTAATATATACATTGTGTCTTAAGTATAAAACCTTTTTATGTCAACACAGCATGAGTATATAGATACAATATGCTGATACACATGTCCATTTCCGTTTTTGTCCCTGCGATCTGCAGTTGATTATCTCCTGTGCTAATAAGGTGAGAGAAGTTTCACCTGTTCAGCATTCCGGCTGCTTCTGCTACAAGAGCTGTTTTATTTCTAATTTAGGAATATAATACAAAAGTATTTTAAAATAAAATTTCAACATCTGTATTTTCTTTTGTTTCATATATTTGTCATTACCTCCCCACACCTCACCCAAATCACACAGAAACACCTATGTATACTTTTTAAAAATTTGCTTTCTTTTTTAAGGCAATATGATGTAGTGATAGCGCACAGAGCATAGGGTTTAGAGTTTAAATTTTCAGGGCAATCTCATACAATTGTGCAGATTTTCCTGTTTAATGGACGGGGTGGGGCAGAAATCCCCTTGGTCCGCACTGGCAAACGCAAGACATGTCTCCCCAGCACAAGAGCACCGATTGGGTCGGCGCTGCCTGCTGCGTTGGAGACAAGGCGAAGCTTTGTGATTTGGGGCTATTTCCATAATCTCTCAGAGCCATAATTTTCTCATCTGCAAAGAAGAACTAGTAATAAATTACATCAAAGTTTTTGAAGGATCAAATTGATGTAAGATATATGAAAGTAATTTATTAAAGTACGGGTATTAGTCATTTTTATATTTCATAATAATTTATTTTTATGCGGAATTTTTTTCTATAATTCTCCATTTCTCCTTCTCTCTTTTAGTCCTTCAATATTGAATTCTTTATTGAGCAATAGTACGCTTGCAACTGTGTATATTAGTAATTTTCATTGTATAGGATGCAAGTTGTGTATAAATATATTCCTTACAAATTGGAGGATATTGTTTTTTGTTAGTTGCATGATTCAATATTGGATTAAATTTATTATTGAATAATACAAGTAAGAGACTGTTGATTTATAATAAAGCTATTGTTAAATACTCTGAATTTCATAGATTACAGACATCACAAATTGTTACTGCTAATGAATTGTCACCATGAGCCTTACAGTTTTACAGCTTTGTCTTTTACTTTCTTTTGGGGAAAAGATGCTTCATGGAAAACATGTCATGGTCCGTGTTGGTGGAGGCTGGGATACTCTTCAAGGATTTTTGCTAAAATATGACCCCTGTCGAATATTACAGTTTGCCACACTAGAACAAAAAATACTAGCCTTTCAAAAAGGAGTTTCGAATGAAAGTGTGCCTGATTCGCCTGCCAGAACACCTCAGCCTCCTGAAATGAATCCAATGTCAGCAGTTAACATGTTTCAGAAAGAAAACGAAAAATCGAAACCGGGCCCTCCAGTTGGGATTACAAGGAGCAAAGAAAAACAGGCACATCCGCCAGGTGTGATGCTGCCAGCATCTTCCCTGAAGGGAGGCAACCTGGGCTCCGTGTCAGTCCGTTCTAAAACGCCGAGCTCTCCAGCAGTATCTTCTCATCTCAAACTCAAGTCTTTGAAAGGCATGGCAAAGAAACCACCGGCTCCTTCAAACAGTGCATCACCTTCACTTGCTTCTTTAAATTTAGGAGGTGAAAACACTTCACCAGCCTTATCAAGAACTGCACCTTGTGTATCAGAGTCATTAAAAAAATGTATCTCATCACCCAATACTCCGAAGGCCAAGTTTATTCCAGCCCAGAAATCAAGAGGTGTGCCTCAGTCTTCATGTTTGCCAAGTAAGTGTTCTGGAAAAACCGAACCAAAGCATTTGAAACATAATCATGTATCTTTCAGGGATAATGCAGTATATCGTTCAGCTGCACATTTAAACTCATCATCAAAGTGTCCAAAGCTACCTACACCTTCTCCTTCTGACCAGTCCCCTGCAAAAATGACTAAATCCAGTTCCAAAACCATAACCACAGGCCTAGGGACACGGTCTCAGCCATCTGACGGAGCCCCACAAGGAGAGGCAGTGCCCGCACAGAAGCTTAAGTCAGCCTTGAACTTAAACCAGCCACTTCCTGTATCCTCAGTTGCTCCTGCAAAAGCACAGGAATCAAAAGATAAGAATATAGTTTCAGTTGCCAAAAAGCAGCCTCAGAACATAGGTACGTCCCAGAAGACAGGAATCAGCTCCTCCAAGTCCCCTGGTCGTACCCCACTGTCCCTCATGAGCCTCCCCCAGTCTTCTGCCAAAACGCACATGGTATCAAAGGCAGCTCAGACGGCCACTAGGAGCCAGTGTTCAGCCAGAGCGCCTCCGAAGAAAAGTGGCAAAGCCCCAGTTTCAACCAGGAAACCACCCTCCTCTGGCAAGGAAGCCGTTAGTGGAGATAAAAAACCTACTGCAAAGAAAAAGGAAGATGATGACCATTATTTTGTTATGACTGGAAGTAAGAAACCTAGAAAATAAACAAAAATGGGTCATTTTAAGAAAACAGAAAAGAAAGAGAGTGAATGTGTTAGTTTCACATCTTAAAAGGTTTTATTTGTGTTTGTCCAAATAGGTTAGACATTGAGTATAATAGCATAGGGGTTGGAAGTTGGGACAGAGGTAGGCGTGGTGAGGAGAGGGCTCATCAGAATTTTGTTTCTGAATTCTCTAGAAGGTCCCCTTCGCAGGCAGGCAGTTGTAAAATCACCACGATTCCTATGAATAATAGACATTTGCCTGATTTTCAGTCCATAGAATCTTTATTAATATCTGCCCTTTAAGGGAAACGTAAAGTCAAATAACACTACTAGAGCTTTAACTGTAGTTGCTATATTTTAAATATATATATTAAGTATAGGTTTATGTTTATATAGAGATGTTACATACCCGCTAGTAGCAACAGTGGTGCTCTCAATATTAGTTACTGATTTTAGTAAAAAAAACAAAAACAAAAAAACGGTTTGGCACTTGTCTTACAAAAGGCACCTAATTTAATTTTCTGATCAGGATCATCTGATCAAACAATCCTCAGTACCAGTGGCTGCTGCTGGTTAGCTTGGTGTTTATTCTGGGTTTGACAAAACTATTACTTTTCTTTAAGCTTTCTAAATAGAAGGGAACTGATTTTTTTTTTTTACTGGCTTATTAACATAGGTAATATTTTGTTATACATGTTTTTGGTTTAAAAGAAAGCAAATTAAGATATTGAAATGTCAACTGAAATTTGGTAAAATCCAAGGTTTTTCATATTATAAGAATTTACAGTTTGTACTTTACATAGGTGTGCATTGTAAAAGGGGAAACAGATTTAGTAGCTTTTAGGATATTAAAATATTTTTAATAATGTAATTTTCTATGAGAGCAGATATGAATTTTTACATTAATATATTTTAACATTAGAATTACATTTTTAACAACATTAAAATTAAGGAGATAAAGGATCTTAGAATGGTGCTATATAAAAATTCTATCATGTTATTTTTCTTTAGATGGCACAATACCAGTTTTAATTAGCTTCTCCCAACTACATTAATTTTTTTTTGATGAAATCATGCTGCCTTCAGTTTTGCAATGGCAAGTAACAGTATATATGCAGCATTTTCTGCTCTGTAGCAAGTTTCTCCCACGGAACATATGCAGATCATGTATGACTTCATAGACACAATCTATCTAAGATGGTGTTTGTAAATTGATTTCTAAGAGATTGTGAATATTTAAAAAGTTATTAATGCACTTTCAGAAGTCTTGGGGTATGTTAAATAACTGTACAGTATTATCAGTTATCACAGGTTATTATATTCAGTATTGAAGTTTGCGTTTCTCATTTTAAACTGTAATGTGTTTTCTAAAGAAAAATAACGGTTTATACAAATAATCAGAATAAGCATCTTAAGCCGACTAAGAATGTTCTATAGATTATAAAGTAAGAAAGCTTTGTATAAAACTAAATGATCTTTTGTCTGAGGCATCTAGTTAAAATCAAAGATATATGCAAACTAGTTTTTAGAATAATTGATGCATTTCTTTTTAAAAGAGGCACTCACCAAGTGTTTGGTTTAGTTCTACTGTTGAGCTGAACATTGAGAGAGATAATAGGTTCAACTTTGGAAAGTAAAGTCAGTGTTCAAGAAATGCTAGAAGCTTTACATTTTTAGTGATCAGAAATATTTAAGGCATCTTTCAAAGAGGAAGACTTTTACCTTTAAGAAGGAGTTTATTTCCTTGTAAGAAAAAAACACTACTTCTGTAACTTCTAGAACTTAAAAAAAAAAAGTAAATGATATTACAGCCAATTCATAAATCCAAGTAGATTTTACAATATGTGAACTTTTGTGCTGAGAGCCATCAGGAATAAAGTATCCCACAGATAACTGGCACAAATTCCAATGATTCTTTTTTTCAAAAATTGGAAATTCACTTATGAATAGCCTTATTCTTCATCAGTAGGAAATTTCTTCACTTATATTCATGTTGAGTGAATTGTTATGTATGATGTACACTTCCAAAATGATGGGGTTTTTTGAAATAAACAATGCCTGACAGATACTTTCTTCAAATATAATTTCGAATGCTGTTAAAGAAGAGCTACTGTCTCTAATCATTTTCACAATTTTAAAAATATGTTGTTGAATTTGGAAAGAAGTTTTTATTTCTCAATAATAGTGCAAGACTATAAAGATTCTTGTTTAATATTTAATAAGTTCATATTAAGTTTGAGTTACTGAAATAACCAGAAGAAAAAATAATGTTTATTTTTAAAAAATGGAATAAGGTGGGGGTTTTTTGCTATGGTTTGTTAACATGACTAATATATCAAATTAATCTTAAGAGGAACATGAAATTATGATTATTTTTACATTAGGTGTTTAAGGCTTATATCTTCAAAATGCCTTAATAAATTAGATTACTCTTAACTTTCCTCCCCATAGTGAGTTTACAGTTCTTAATGAATGAGGGAAATATTTTGAGAAATAAATTACTGTTCCTTCTTCAGTCTGTTTATCTCTGATTTAAAAATCTGTTACTTCTTTAAAAGGTTTCCATAACAAGCTGTTATGATATTGTGCTACATTCTTACATCCAGGTTCACATATTGACTATTTGAATACAATTTTGTATAATTCTTTCCTTGTGCCAGCAGTGTTTGTATGAGATTCATATTTTCTCAAATATTAAAATGTAACATATACACCAAATTCTCAGTTTGCTTTTTTTTGTGTGATCTGAATATATTCCAACCCCTTGGTTCATATGAGAAGTTGCATATATGAAGCATTTATAATTTGAGAATAGTTTTAGTTTTATTGCTACTTGAGATACCTTCCTTATGTTTGTGGAATTTATTTCACTGCACCAGCAGATTACAAGATTTTGTCATTAAGTTAACAGGATTTGATCCCCAAGTTACTATATCTGCTAGAAGTTAGTCTCAGTTTAGCTAGACTCATTTAGTAATCTCTGAGATAATAGAAATAATTGATCAGTTATTAAAGCAGAATTCTATGGATCACACAAGTATTGTGTTCATAGAAAGCTACTGATAGTAGGAATTTTCAATTTTTGTAATTCTGTTTTAATGTAAGTTCAATACAGTGAGAATAGTCTTGAAATACTATTTTTTCCTAAATTCATGATCAGAGCAATTATAAAAAGCAGTTAATTCAATATGTAATTTCTGTGATGTTTCCAAAAAGAAAACATAAAAACACCACTTAGACAAACTTTCATTAAACATTCTTAACCATTTGTGAGTGTAAAAAATTAAAACTTTGGGGAATTTTGAGGAATATTAGGAAAATATTTTTAGGAAATATTAGGAAATAATATTAGGAAAAACAAAACTTTTGCCAGTAAATCCTACAAACATTATTTTGCTCATGTAGAAAAGCACAATAAGACTTGGTCTTGAGGAAATACATGTAAAGATTTAGCTGTAAGTACGTTAATCATAGCACATCATTAATATTGGTAAGACCACAAAATAAAAGACCATGCAGTCATTAAAAATGATGTGGATGTTGATTTATCTTGAAAGAATTATGTATGGCACTCAGGTGTTTTGTTCTGAGAGGCTGCAGTGCTAAAACATTAATATATAATATTTGTTAATTTTCTGTGTTCAGCCAAGAACAGCACAATACTTACTGCATGATTTGTGGGTGCATGGCATATGTTATCTATTATAATTAAGCTCTTGTGGCTAGTATTTCATATAATACATTTTATTTAATATGACCAACTTTCTCAAATGTCTTTTACTAAACTATCCTTCCAAATTACTGCATTGGAATGAATGAATATATTAAATAGGAAGGATTAACGTTGGGTATGACTTTTAAGGACCTCTAGTGGTCAGATGTGGCAGTGTTGAAACACTATCTGCTCAAGATCACCATTTACTAACACCTACTGAGTTACAAAGATAAAAAGGAATAACTCATCGTATTCAAGTACTTTGGGTTTATAGAGCACTTTGCAACTCACAAAACACTTAATTACAACAACATCCAGTCTTCTGAACAATTCCATGTGATAGTAAGTATTGTGATCTTCGTTAGAATATAAGCACCATAAAAACAGGAACTGTAGCTGTTTGGTTGACCACTGTGTTTCCAAAGCCTAAACCAATGCCAGGCACATTGGTATGCGAGGTGGTAGGCATTCAGTAAATATTTGTTAAAAAATGAATGAATTTTCTTTTTGTAGTTAAGGACACTATGCTCAAGAAAGTTGACAGTAAATATAAAAATACTAGGATTGACTGAATTTTATTTAAAGGATAAATTTATTTTTACCTATTTCCACAAACTTAATTTACTTTTCATGTCGATGTGATAAAGAAAATAGCATCTTGACATCTTTTTAATAATCCACTGGGATATTACATCTGACTTTGTATTCTGAGAAAAATCTTGATTTGTTTTTGAATTACCCTTTATTTGAAATATTCTAAGCTTGACTATATTTAGAGATTAGTATATTGTGTTTTTAGTTTAACATTGATAAAGCATTTAACTATATTCAAAGCATTACTCTTGGAATAATGAAGTATAGCATCCAAATCTCAGAACAGCATTCTATAAAATTTGCTAGATAAATGATGAGAGAAAAATAAGTTAAATCGAGCACAGAATACTTATTTTAGAGATTAAGGTCAATTTCCTGACAGCGCAGTGGAAATAGATAATGGTAAAGATATGACTGCAGGTGGCCCTAGGACCTCCATTAAAAAAAAAAAAAAAAAGCAGGTTTCATATGCTTCTTGCAAAAGGAATAAATGCATTTCTCTCACATTGAAAATATGATAAAAATTGTGTCATGTCGATCCCTCCAGTAATTCATTACAGCATGTGAGGTCTCGGAGCCCAAGAAACAGCTGTGGAAGAGTAGGCCAAACTGTGGTGTGTATTGGAAGAGTGAAACATGACATTTTTAAATGTTAATCCTAAACACTGAGGTAAAATGAAGGCAAGCGCCTTTAAACAGAAATTTGCAATAGTTTCCATTTACCCTAAGCATCAGCAAGAACTATTTTTGAAGTTCATGAAGTCCCAGGTATCCTTACAGGTTAAAAAAAGTGGAGCCTTTGACC